GATCTTAGTAAGCTGCCCACGTTTTACATAAAGTTATTAATATGCTTATCAGTAACTTCTGATCCTAGTAACCTGCTGACATGTTTTACATAAAATAATCAACATGCTTATCAGTAACTTCTTATCTTAGCAAGCAGCCGACATGTTTTACATAAAGTTATTAATATGTTTATCAGTAACTTCTGATCTTAGTAAGCTGCCAACATGTTTTACATAAAGTTATTAATATGCTTATCAGTAACTTTCGATCTTATGCAAAATTGTAAACCAAATTGATTAGAATGCAGTAATCCAAGCTAGATTTGACTGATGTGTTTGAGAAAAGTATTTAGTTGTATGTTACTTCACACAGTTTCTGTAGTTCGGTTTGTGTGGAGCCTTTATAAGTAAGTTTTATTACTTTTTTAGAACTAAAATTGATTGGTTTGTATAAGAACCAGTGTATCATTTAATTTGAACTTCTACAATTTCTATCAGGAAATTTATCAGATACTTTAGAGTGATTATTAATTTATTTCCTTAATTTCACCAATAAATATTTATGTGAAATCTTTAGGTTTTGTACTATTATGAAATTAATAATTGAACAAGTAAAAAAGTAGTGTTAACTTTTAATGAAAAACTCATTATAACCTCACGTTTTCAATACTATATTGCAATCTAAGTTTACACTTTGTAAAATTCATTTGAGCATAAAGGTGATCAGTCAGAGAACCATATGTAGTAAGTGCTGATGTTTTTACTTTTTCTTTTACACTTTAATTAACTCATCACTGTGACTGGGATGAATATTTCTCAATGCAGTAGGAAATATACATCCCAGCAGCAATGAAAGGTTTAAAGATATTAATATTTTTTTGTTATATACATTCTTATTTAAATAAATTATGTGATACAAACCATATGATTGGTGTGTTCAACTGCTTTCTGAAATGCATGTGAAGCCACAACTAGAAATCTAAGCAAATGATGAAAGTGCTTCTTGAAACATGTACAGCACACCAAATTTCACACAATATATCCGACTGCTTCTTGAAATGTACAGTCACACCTAGTATCACACACAATATGTCAGACTGCTTCTTGAAATGTACAGTCATACCTGATATCACACACAGTATATAACAATGCTTCTTGAAATGTACAATCACATCTGGTATAACACAGTATATAACACTGTTTCTTCAAATGTACATTCACACCTGGTATCGCATACAATATACCAGACTGCTTCTTGAAACATGTACAGTCACACCTGGTATCACACACAGTATATAACACTCCATCTTTGAATGTAATGTAACACCTGGCATCACACACAGTATATAACACTGCTTCTTCAGATGTACAGTCACACCTGGTATCACACACAATATGTCAGACTGCTGCTTGAAACATGTACAGTCACACCTGGTATCACACACAGTATATAACACTGCTTCGTGAAATGTACAATCACACCTAGTATCACACAATATATCAGATTGCTTCTTGAAATGTACAGTCACACTTCGTATCACACACAGTGTATAATACTTCTTCTTGAAACATGTACAGTCACACCTGGTATCACACACAGTATATAACACTCCATCTTTAAATGTAAAGTCACACCTGGCATCACAAACAGTATATAACACTGCTTCTTGAAATGTACAGTCACACTTGGTATCACACACAGTATATAACACTGCTTCTTGAAACATATACAGTCACACCTGGTATCACATACAGTATATAACACTGCTTCGTGAAATGTACAATCACACCTAGTATCACAAAATATATCAGATTGCTTCTTGAAATGTACAGTCACACCTGGTATCACACACAGTATATAACACTCCATTTTTGAATGTAAAGTCACACCTGGCATCACACACAATATATAACACTGCTTCTTGAAATGTACAGTCACACTTGGTACCACACACAGTATATAACACTGCTTCTTGAAATGTACAGTCACACCTAGTATCACACACAGTATATAACACTCCATTTTTGAATGTAAAGTCACACCTGGCATCACACACAGTATATAACACTGCTTCTTCAAATGTACAGTCACACCTGGTATAACACACAATATGTCACAATGCTTCTTGAAACATTTACAGTCACACCTGGTATCACACACAATATTCCAGACTGCTCTTGAAACATGTAGCGTCACACCTCATATTGTACACAATTATCCAGACTGCTCTTGAAACATGTAGCGTCACACCTCATATCGTACACAGTATATAACAATGCTTCTTGAAATGTACAATCACACCTGGTATCACACACAATATGTCAGACTGCTTCAAATATTTACCGTCACACCTGGTATCACACAATATGTCAGACTGCTTCTTGAAACATGTACAGTCACACCTGGTATCCCACACAATATACCAGACTGCTTTTTGACACATGTACAGTCTCACCTGGTATCACACAGAGTATATAACACTCCTTTTTGAAATGTACAGTCACACTTCGTATCACACACAGTGTATAACACTCCTTCTTGTAAAGTAAAGTCACACCTGGCATCACACACACATCATATATCACTGCTTCTTGAACCATTTACGGTCACATGTGGTATCACACAGAATATGTCAGACTGCTTCTTGAACCATTTACGGTCACACGTGGTATCACACCCAATATGTCAGACTGCTTCTTGAAACGTTTTCAGTCACACCTGGTATCACACACAATATGTTGGACTGCTTTTTGGAACACGTTCAGTCACATCTGGTATCACACAGAGTATATAACATTTCTTCTTGAAATGTACAGTCACACTTGGCATCTCACACAGTATATATGACTGCTTCTTGAAATGTATAGTCACACCTGGCATCACACCCAATATGTCAGACTGCTTCTTCAAATATTTACAGTCACACCTGGTATTACACAAAATATGTTGGACTGCTTCTTGAAACATGTACAGTCACAACTGGTATCACACACAATATACCAGACTTCATCTTGAAACATGTACAGTCACACCTGGTATCACACACAGTATATAACACTGCTTCTTTGAATGTACAATGGCACCTAGTATCACACAAAATATCAGATTTCTTCTTGAAATGTACAGTCACACCTGGTATCACACAGTATATAACACTGTTTCTTGAAATGTACAGTCACACTTCGTATGACACGCAGTGTATAACACTTCTTCTTCAAATGTAAATTCAAACCTGGTATCACACACTGTATATCAGATTGCTTCTTGGAATGTACAGTCACACCTGGTATCACACACAATATGTCAGACTGCTTCTTGAAAAATCTACAGTCACACGTGGTATCACACAAATATACCAGACTGGTTCATGAAACATCTACAATCACACCTGGTATCTCACACAGTATATAACACTGCTTCTGGAAATGTACAGTCACACCTAGTATCACATAATATATCAGATTGCTTCTTGAAACATGTAAAGTCACACGTAGTCTCACACAATATACCAGATGGCTTCTTAAAACATGTACAGTCCTACCTGGTATCACACAGTATATAACACTGCTTCTTGAAATGTACAATCACACTTCGTATCACTCACAGTGTATAACACTTCTTCTTGAAATGTAAATTCAAACCTTGTATCACACATAGTATATAACATTGCTTCTTGAAATGTACAGTCACACCTATAATTACACTAACTAATCTAACTTCACAACTAATGAATTTTGTGAATGTCTAGCTTCGTATCTAATGAATTTTTCTAATGATTGTCTAACTTCATAACTAATGTATTTTGTGAATGACTGTCTAAATTCACAACTAATGTATTTTGAGAATGTCTAACCTCATAACTGATGTATTTTGTGAATGACTGTTTAACTTCACAACTAATGTATTTTGAGAATGTCTAACCTCATAACTGATGTATTTTGTGAATGACTGTTTAACTTAACAACTAATGTATTTTGAGAATGTCTAACTTCATATCTGATGTATTTTGTGAATGACTGTCTAACTTCAAAACTAATTTTTTTTGTAAATGTCTAACTTCACAACTAATGAATTTTGTGAATGACTATTCACCTTAGGAGCTAATGTATTTTGTAAAAGACTGTCTTACTTTACAACTAATCTACTTTGAGAATAACTATTTATCTTAACAACTAATCTATTTTGAGAATGACTGTTAAACTTCACAATTAATGTATTTTGTGAATGAATTTTTATCTTCACAACTGATGTCTTTTGTGAATGTCTAACTTCATAACTAATGTATTTTGTGAATGACTGTTCAACTTCAAAACTAATGTATTTTGTGAATTACTGTCTAACTTTACAACTTATGTATTTTGTGAATGGCTGTTTAATTTGACAACTTATGTATTTTGTGAATGACTGTTTAACTTGACAACTTATGTATTTTGTGAATGGCTGTCTAACTTCAGAACTAATCTATTTTGTGAATAACTCTGCAAATTCAGAACTAATGTATTTTGTAAATGACTGTCTACCATCACAACTAATGTATTTTGTGAATGACTGTTTAACTTCACAACTAGTGTATTTTGTGAATGTCTAACTTCATAACTAATGTGCTTTATGAATGATTGTTCAACTTCACAACTATTGTATTTTGTAAATGACTGTCTACCATCACAACTAATGTATTTTGTGAATGACTGTTTAACTTCACAACTAGTGTATTTTGTGAATGTCTAACTTCATAACTAATGTGCTTTATGAATGATTGTTCAACTTCACAACTATTGTATTTTGTGAATGACTGTCTGACTTCACAACTTATGTATTTTGTGAATGACTGTTTAATTTGACAACTTATGTATTTTGTGAATGACTGTTTAACTTGACAAAGTATGTATTTTGTGAATGGCTGTTTAACTTCAGAACTAATCTATTTTGTGAATAACTCTGCAAATTCAGAACTAATGTATTTTGGAAATGACTGTCTAACTTCACAACTAAT